AAAAAAAAAAAAAAAAAAAAAAAAAAAAAAAAAAAAAAAAAAAAAAACTTGCAACGGAGCCTACTCACGTAGCCAGCGGGGCTTTCATGTCCTTGCTCTCGCTCGCATACATGAGGGAGGACAGGCCCTGGAGACGGTCGCCAGGGAAACCCAGCAGGTTGATGATTTTGAGCAGGTGTGGCGGCACCATGGAGATGCACAGGTGGAAGAGGCCGTAGCCGAAGCTGACGGAGCCCTTGAGCCGGTCCAGGGCCTCGGCCGTCACGCAGTTCTCCTCCGGCGTGTTGTGGTTGGCGTTGTCCGTCGGGGGGGACTCCTGGTGGACCGAGGGCCTCCGCTGGCAGGCCTCCTGCAGCTGGCTGATGTCACTGTAGCACTTGTTGTACATTTTCCACGCCTTACGTAGAATCCAGCCTCCTTTGATGTAAGCTGTTAGTGGATACGTAAGGTCATTAATTCATCTCTGCAGCTAATATGCATATTCATGATCAGTTAGTCTGTTAGTGGTGCTCTGACCAAAATATCTCAGCAATTCTATGAAGTTTGTATCAGATCTTCATGTTCCCCTCAGGATGAATTAGCATTAACTTTGGTGATCTATTCACTTTTTTATCATTGCTAATTAGCGAATGTTAGCATGCCAACTAGTGGTGGAATACTACATGTATTCAAGTACTTTAGGTACAAATTTGAGGTATTTCTACTACACTTGAGTCTTTTCTTTTCATGTCACAGTTCAGAGGGAAATATTATCAGTTCAACTTCACTACAACTATATGACAACATGGATCATTACAAAGTTAGTGTAGTAGGAACTTTTTGAGCAAACCAACAATGTGTATCAATAAAGTTCCTGAGCTTTAGAACAAATAATAATGTATTAATATTATAATAATATATTAAGTCGCTTGACTGATGAACTAAACGTGTCAGCACAAAAATTCACAAACTAATATTTTATGCTTACACACCTGACTTCACAAAGCACCTCAGCAGTAACGATATTATTCCATTAACTCAGTTAATCCTCATTAACATTTCTGAGCATGCTCCTAAATAAAACCAGGTAAAGTGCTCTACACTGTTAACTGTAATATGACGTCTTTATAATGTCCTGTTCTTGAGTTATACCATTCACACTAATGAATATACAGTCTATGGTCTACATGCAGTCAGTCCTTCAAGCACACACCGCCATGATGACATGGTCACTCTTTGTACCTGAAAGCTCCTGCTTGACGAAAGAGAGCACGGCGAGGTACACCTGACAGTCGGCAACAATAATCTGTCTCTGTAGGCGGTCCACGACCACAACACCCGACCTCTGGGAGTCCATCTGTAACACACACACACACATTCAATACAGCGGTAATACTCATAACCTGCATGCTGAATGACCCGCAGCTGCTAGCCAGCCCCCACACTCCTCGCCCAGTTTGTTGATTACATTTCACAGAAGCACTTGTAAATCTGAGAGTGGGTTTGGCATGATCTCACTGCTGACTGCATCATTAGACACGACGGCGAGGATATAAACATCATTATCTGAACAGCAGCCTGTTCTGGCGGCAATATTAGGAGATAGCGATGGTGGAATTTGTTCACACAAATCACGTAAAGAAATCTATATGGGTGAATTGGTGTTCTCGCCTCTTAGATTTTGACAAAAGCAGTATTATTGTCTTTTATGCCACAGTCCGTTGGGGGGTGTGCTCAAATTAAAAAAAATTCTCAGTCAACTAACACATTAATTTAATAACAGATTACTGAACAATTAAGAGATCTGTGAAACTGAGTTTCTCCACAAAGAATCACATAAAAGCACCACTTTTAGTCTCGTGTTTACCAGAGATGTGTTCATAAGTTTGACTAGTCGACTAAGAGGTGTATATATACACTCACCGGCCACTTTATTAGGTACACCTTGCTAGTACCGGGTTGGACCCCCTTTTGTATTCAGAACTGCCTTAATTCTTCGTAGCATAGATTCAACAAGGTGTTGAAAACCATTCCTCGCAGATTTTGGTCCATATAGACACAATGGCATCACGCAGAAGCTGCAGATGTGTTGGCTGCACATCCATGATGCTAATCTCCCGTTCCACCACATCCCAAAGGTGCTCTATTGGATTGAGATGTAGTGACTGTGGAAGCCATTGGAGTACAGTGAACTCATTGTCATGTCCAAGAAACCAGTTTGAGATGATTTGAGCTTTGTGACATGCTGCATCATCCTGCTGGAAGTAGCCATCAGAAGACGGTTACACTGGTCATAAAGGGATGGACATGGGCAGCAACAATACTCAGGTGGGCCGTGGCATTTAAACGATACTCGATTGGTACTAAGGGGCCCAAATTGTGGCAAGAAAATATCCCCCACACCATTACACCACCACCAGCAGCCTGAACACACAAGGCAGTATGGATCCATGCTTTCATGTTGTTTACACCAAATTCTGACCCTACCATCTGAATGTCACAGCTGAAATCGAGACTCATCAGACCAGGCAATGTTTTTCCAATCTTCTATTATTATTTAATAATTATTTATTATTATTCTATTATTATCATTTTAGTGAGCCTGTAGCCTCAGTTTCCTGTTCTTAGCTGACAGGAGTGGCCCCCGGTGTGGTCTTCTGCTGCTGTAGCCCGTCTGCTTCAAGGTTCCACGTGTTGTGCGTTCAGAGATGGTGTTCTGCATACCTTGGTTGTAACGAGTGGTTATTTGAGTTACTGTTGCCTTTCTATCATCTCCAACCACTCTGCCCATTCTCCTCTGACCTCTGACATCAACAAGGCATTTTCGTCCACACAACTGCCGCTCACTGGATATTTTCTCTTTTTCGGACCATTCTCTGTAAACCCTAGAGATGGTTGTGCGTGAAAATCACAGTAGATCAGCAGTTTTTGAAATACTCAGACCAGCCCCAACCAACAACCATGCCACGTTCAAAGTCACTTAAATCCCCTTTCTTCCCCATTCTGATGCTCGCTTTGAACTTCAGCAAGTCGTCTTCACCACGTCTAGATGCCTAAATGTATTGAGATGCTGCCATGTGATTTGCTGATTAGATATTTGTTTTAACAAGCAATTGAACAGGTGTGCCTAATAAAGTGGTTGGTGAGCGTATATAATTTGATTTGATTTTTTAAATTAAATATCCATAGTGTTGTACTCACACTTTTTTTAATCTTGTTCCTGATTGTCTCTATGACTCCGGCGCTGTCGCTCTCACACAGCTTCTCGGTGGTCCTCAGGTCGTCACAGGCCGTCTGCATCTTCTCCTCCTCAAATGTCATCATGGCGTTCTGCAACGCAAAGCAGTCATAACATTTTGCTCTTAACACATCTTAAAAAGAAAAAGAAAAAAAGCTCCAATGCATTGTTTGTTGCGCTCAAGCTGGATTACAAACAGAAACCGTCTTGTAATACGAGGGAAGGAGTGTTATGTAACAGTGTTGAAAAGGACAAAGGGCCCTTTCGTGACAGTGAGCGCAGGAACACGGAGACATCTGTGCAGCTGGAGGTTTGAAGACGCCACACAGCCAGCACAATCCGAAAATCTTCACTCCGTTGTAGCTGAAACCTCTTAAGATCAGCTTGAAACGAGTGAGGACAACAAATGTTGTGAGATTCAACTGACATTTGTGGTTTCACGTTTTGACATTTTCTTGCATAACTGCGGCATTCTCTCCATTTATGTTACATGTATGAATGCCCACCAGGAGGGTCAGATGCCTTCAGGGCCATTTAGTATCTGGGGGACAGAGGATGACATCATCTTTAGCTTCATGGTGTGTGTGTGTGTGTGTGTGTGTGTGTGTGTGTGTGTGTGCGTGTGTGTGTGCGTGTGTGTGTGTGTCCATCACAGCATGAAGAATCTCCCTCTCCCATCAGCGATGGATGCAGCGTTACAGTAAATGTGCTTCTCTGCAAGAGCATGGCTGTTCTTGAGAGGAAGATTCATCCATTATGTTAATGGACGGAAACGCAGAGGAGAGGAGGCCAGTGGTGACAATAGTGAGCGTTCAATTTGACAGGTTGGGTTATTTCAGGTGATACTGGGAGGGGGGGGCTCTCCCCTAATAATCCTATTTATCGCCAGCTGAGATGAAACTCACCAGGAAACTGACGAAACTGGCCCCGAAGCTCATCAGCGGGCTCTGGGTCCTACACCGAGAATAGGGAAGGAGAGAGATGCATTCACTGTCAGGCCAAAGAGAACGAATAACACGCATAACTGAAAGGCTGGTGACTTTTTTTTCCCAGCGAGCGCGGACAGAGCGTGCTCAGGAGCAGGTGCAGCCAGCAATCCCAGTGCTCAGCTGTCACGTCTCACTACTATGTGTTCGTCTGACGTGGAGCGTCCATCTCCCACTATTCACCATCTGTTCTTTGTGTGAGTTTTTCTGAAAGGCAAAATGCCCCCAAAACATATACTTAAAAAAAAAAAAACATGTTAACAGTGGCTGGGCTTGTCCATGATGAAAATGTTCAATCAGAAAGGGGTGTGACAATGTTAAGACTGACAGCTGGAGGCCTTAAAAAGCCTCACTCACTGATAACATGCATTTGGAACTGTATAGCCTAATTAGTAATGTGTTTGAATGACACTGTTAATTATGTGGGGCACTGTTTTCACTCTTTGTATAGCAGTAGAACATGCTGTACCCGGTGTTCTCGATTTCACTGTGATGTTTTAACCGCTTGTGACTTTATTCTTGGAGTAATACCTTGCTGATAGTAAGAGGGTTAGGCATGCATTATACTGCAACAAATCATCATGGCATGAAATGACTACCTGTATCTCCTGAAGAGCTCGTCGCTCTCTTTGAAGCCGTTGTTGAGCAGCAGGTTAATGCCTTGCAGGGCCATCTCGGCATCATCTAGCTGCTCGGCCTTCTCCTCCACCTGCTGCTGCTGCTGGGACTGCTCGGGACCCGCCATTGTTTGTGCTGCAGCGCCGCCGGCTGTTGGATTGAACCGGTGCGACGGGGAACAAAATACGAACGCGTTTCCTCTCCAAAGCAAAGCCGCATTGGTTTATTCCCGCTGGTGTAGGAGACGGATTGAAACAGAGACGCGCCTCTGGTCGGCTAAAAAGAAAAACAAAAAGATAAAAAAACTAGTGCGGCTACCGCAAGCTCCAGACAGTGCGCTTTTAGGGGTATATAGGACACTGATGCCCAGACGGGCTCGCTCACTCCGCACTACAGCGACGCACTCTTCATCGTTGTTATTCCCGACTATCTGCGCGTTCACACACTAAAGACACGCATACCGTTATTTGCCACTAAATCTGCCGTCCGTCAGTTTCCACCTCCACCCCCTCCCCCCCGCTACTATGCTACTCCCCGCCTTGCAGCAGCAGCATCCGACGCGTTACATAACGAGGATCCAGGCTGCTGTGCTGCTTCTGTCTGCCAGCAGCACGTCAAAACGGCCTGGCGTCGAGAGACAGCGAGATCCTTCTTGTGGCACTGGCACCTCTGTGGCACTCAGCGGCACTCAGCGGCACACTCAGCGGCACTCTCTGTGGCACTTCAGCGGCAAGCGTCAGCTGTGGCAGGCGAGCTAGTTCGGCACCCGTCAAGAAGCTGCGGAGCTGAGGGGGCGGAGCCACATTTCCTGAGAACACACATTGTTGTGTGTTCTCACACAACAATGTGTCACAGTCACACAACAGGTCAGCTTCCGTAAATCAGTTTTATGATTTTAGTTGAGTCACCGGAGCCACCCGTTCTCTGTATGCATCCTTAGAGTAAGTACGTTGTAATTTTTTGTTTCTCATTCATTTTATTTAAGTATGATTTTGCTGGTTTTGCAACAAAAGGGAACATAATACACTCTTTCCAAATTATTACTTTTACAGTCATTTACAACAATCGGCTAAAATAATGAAAATAAATCATCCGTTTTATTATCATTTAAAAGTATATATATAAAAAATTTAAAATTAAAATTAAAACCCATAAAATGTCCAATCCAAAAATATATGTCTGAAAATATCTTCACTCTTCCTCTGCTTATATGTATATGTATGTCAGTAGGTGCCACAAGCTGCCAGAGGGTGCCTCAGGGTGCCAGAGGGTGTGCCAGAGAGTGCCGCAAGGTGCCAGAGAGTGCCAGAGAGTGCCACAGGGTGCCAGAGAGTGCCACAGGGTGCCCGAGAGTGCCCCCCTGGTCCGTGTATGTTTTGATAGTCTGTTTTATGGTTTATTTGTTTTTTCTTTTGAAGAGCAACGCAAAGTAAAACAGGTAGTCCGGAAGTAAGAATATGTCAAAATAAAAGTGAAGGTAATAGAATGACCGTATGCAAGAAAATGGTAACCAGGGTAACACTAGAAGAAAAATAAATAAATATGAATAAATAAACGTGGGCTGATGGGAGTATGTTAACAATAGTTGACTACATGCGATTTAATATTAATTTATCCATGTACACAGCAAGAATCAAGTTTTCGATTAATCTGTGGATTTTTTGATGCAATACAGTTTGTAATATAGTTTAATCAAAGTCATTTTTATGTGTGCAGAGTTGTTGCTATTTATTCTTCCACCGTATTGTGCTGCTGCTTGAGTGAACACAGAGCATAGCCTGCAAAAGGAGACGCAGATTAAGAGTGTTTACCATTTCTACCACCAGATGGCAGTATACATGTATTTAAACCATAGATTTGTTATATTTACCTGTGTCTTTGTTAATTGTGTTATTGATACAGATGTATTTAATGCAGGTTATTTCATCTGATATTTGATGTTGATGGTTAATTTGCAACCTAGTTGTATACATCATGTATTTACTTGTTATTTTTATGTAATAGAAAAGTGAGCATGTGTAGTTCATGAAGCAATAAATAATGACAATTGAAAAATAAAGAGACGTTTGGTTCATTCTTTTCAAACACTAAGCCTAATTTACCTACTTCATTGATTTAATTGTCACACTTAAATCCTGAATTGACTGGTGAAATAGAAGTTAAAAGGCCAAGATGAGAAGATATAATGTTGGTCAAATACTGTGGTCCAAATAAAATTACTTCAGTTTTATTGCCATTGAGATATAGAAAGTTTGACTCTAGAATATTCAAAAAATTCCTAATCCCTCTGACTGCTGGCGGCACCCTCTGGCACTCTCTGGCACCCTGCGGCACTCTCTGGCACCCTGCGGCACTCTCTGGCACTCTCTGGCACCCTGTGGCACTCTCTGGCACTCTCTGACACCCCGCGGCACCCTCTGGCAGCTTGTGGCACCTACTGACATACATATACATATAAGCAGAGGAAGAGTGAAGATATTTTCAGACATGTATTTTTGGATTGGACATTTTATGGGTTTTAATTTTAAATTAAATTTTTTTTATATATATATACTTTTAGATGATAATAAAACGGATGATTTATTTTCATTATTTTAGCCGATTGTTGTAAATGACTGTAAAAGTAATAATTTGGAAAGAGTGTATTATGTTCCCTTTTGTTGCAAAACCAGCAAAATCATACTTAAATAAGATGAATGAGAAACAAAAAAGTACAACGTAATTACTCTAAGGATGCATACAGAGAACGGGTGGCTCCGGTGACTCAACTAAAATCATAAAACTGATTTACGGAAGCTGACCTGTCATAACAACAATGTGTGTTCTCAGGAAATGTGGCTCCGCCCCCTCAGCTCCGCAGCTTCTTGACGGGTGCCGAACTAGTACCGCTCGCCTGCCACAGCTGACGCTTGCCGCTGAAGTGCCACAGACTGCCGCTGAAGTGCCACAGAGAGTGCCGCGGAGTGCCACAGAGTGCCGCTGAGTGCCGCTGAGTGCCACAGAGGTGCCAGTGCCACAAGAAGGATCTCGGCCCTGCACGAGGCGTCATTACGCACGCGGCGCATCGCCGGAGAGGAGGATGGAGCAACGAGGCCCGCTGAGGCGAAGCAGCATCCTGTTTAGCCATCCTCATCCCCAGAGGCTCATCAGAACCACAGCCCTCTCTTCCGACCGACAGCCAATAGACCCGCGGTCACGCTGATGACATAATTATATATAGTATAGTACTATACTTGCTTTTGTTCTTTTTTAACCAGGTTATCGTCGCTCATCTGCATGCCTGCTTCTCGGAGGCTGCAAGAGCATGCATTGCACTAAGTTTCACATTTTGCATTTCAGTTGTATAACTTCAATAACAAATAACAGTCTATAATATATATACATATATATTATACATACATACATACATACATACAGGCTGTTATTTATTCGAATTGAGGCTAAAGTTATTCGCAAAACTGTAATTCAATTACATAAATCATATACGTGTCATGCTTTATAGCATTTCCTGTTTGTTTGTTTTTTTGTTTGTTTTTTTATGTCGTCAATACCTGGCAGTATAGGGGACCGGAGTTTGATGGTAGGCTACGGGTGCCCCGTTCACTCCAGAAGAACAGCTGCCCGTGTAGGCCCTTTCTCACAGCAGCCACTTGGACATGTCTTTGCATTGTAAACACAGGTGTAATTAATAACTAGCAATTCATTATGGCCATTTAGGTGTGCATGCTGGCTCGCTGAACGTTGTCATGTATTACTAATTTATATAACAGATAATTTACGCGAATGCCCACTGACATGGTTTTATGGTTTTAAAAAGCACATATTTAGATCGGGGGAGGGGGGCACGCCTCATACCTTGTACCCATAACACCTACACCATTTTGCTGTATAGTGCACCGCTGGTAATTCAGATGCACCCGAAGTAAGTTATTTTGTTCTGTATGTAAACTTGCACGTTATGCCGATGGTATAATCTGTGATTGTTGAAGGATCCTATGTTCACATGTGGGATCCACACGCTGGGTAGCACAGTGTCACAAGCTGGAGGCTCAGGATCAAACATGCCATTTGTGTTCAGACATGCCATTTGTTGGCATGTCTGAACACTTCCTCCACTCTGCGGCCATATCACCCCTGTCCTCCACACGTGCAAGGGGCTGGTTATTGCTCGCCGGGCATGGCTGGATCTGAACTTCAACATGTCAACACAGACAGGATGAGTCAACAAATCAGCAAGGGGGTGGTGCCTCGAGGTCGCTGACTTGCCAAGTTTGAGTCTGAAGTGTAGCAGCAGAGTCTATATCCTGATTAGCTCTCGGTGAAGACAGACATGGAGCTGGGATCAATGGTTGGTGCCGTGAGGAGTAAGAGGGTGCTGCTCGGCGACCAAGTCCGTCCCGCTGTCATCGTGATAAAGGATGGGAAGATCCATCAAATCCTCTCGGACAGCGACTTTTCTGGAGGTGAGGTAAGCCGGGTATCATTGGTCTCAGCATTTTTAGGATACTTCCCCATTGTACTTGTACAAGGCCATATGCATTGATTTAACCCTCCTAATACATCTATTTGCACTCAAACAATGGCGTTGTTGCGATTGCAGGTGTTGGACGTGGGCGACAGCGTGGTGATGCCGGGCATCGTCGATTGCCACGTCCACGTGAACGAACCAGGCCGAGCCTCCTGGGAGGGCTTCTGGACCGCCACCAGAGCCGCTGCAGCTGGAGGGGTGACAACCATTGTGGACATGCCGCTGTAAGCTCACTCCCAAAAATCAATCGAAACCTATGAAGGCAAATCACTGTCAAAATCCGAGAGCGCATATGAGATCCACGCGCGCACGCAAATCAAACAGCCGCGCGCGTATTTTATTTTGACGAGCGCTTTTACAGAATAAATACATACGTAAATAAATAGATGCTGAAATAAATGAATAAAAGTATAAATAAATAAATAAATATGGAAATAAATAAATTTATGTATAGATAAATAAATAAAAGTTGATAATCAAACAGGACATAAAGAAATACATATATTTATTTCTACATTTCTTTTCACCTACATTTATTCATTTATTTATTTATGTGTCTGTATGCCAATGAGGTGGGAGGTCCTAACCTCTGTCTAAAGCAGGATTGGTCACAGGAGTGTGATCGCTTCTGGTCTACTGCTTCTGCCTTGCACAGTATCATTGATGTTGGCCAGCCCAGTGTTGCCAAATTGACAACTTTCTCGCTAAATCTGTCGAGTTTCCAAATCCCCTTGGCGACTTTCTTTGTCAAAAGCAACTAGCAACAAATCTAGTGACTTTTTCTGGTGTTATTGAAGACTTTTGTGCTGTTTTGGAGATGCTGACGTGAAGCACATATCGTTCTGCAGTTACTGTCCTCAACGAGCAGCGGGTGCTGCCATGAGCCCCTCCAAAGCACTCACAGGCGGTCAGTCTCACAGTAGCCTCGCGCAGCAGTCCCAGCTGCAGACTGTGGAAGCCTATAGTGCTGCTAGATAGTTTTTTGACGTCGTCTACAGGGATGATTTGCTAGGAATCGGTTGCTTCTCTCTTGCTCCCCTACTTGAGCAATCCTGCTTAAGAATGAGGAAGATATCCGGTCTATCCAAAGACGAGGATTGTAACCAATTAGATGTAGAGATACAATGGAGACTGGGTCCACCCACTTACTGTCAAAAAGAAAAACTACTCGTGAGCGAGCAGGTTAAAGTTTCTCGAGCGAATTTTGCTCACGGAGTGATTTAAAAGCGCTCGTCAAAGTAAAATACGCGCGCGGCTGTTTGCTTTGTGCGTGCGTGGATCTCTTTTGCGCTCTCGGATTTGAGTGACAGTGATTTGCCTTCATACAGTAGCATAAGTTATTATGTCTGGTAATATTAGTACATTTGAGAGTTACATTTGTGTTTTTTTTTTTCTCTTTTTGTTTAAAATTCCCACAGAAACAGCATCCCTCCAACTACCACGGTTGGAAATTTCCGCGAGAAACTGCTAGAGGCGACAGGGAAGTGTTTTGTGGACACGGCCTTCTGGGGAGGCGTAATTCCTGGTAATCAGGTACGGTGGTGGAGCGGCTCGGGTACAACAAAATAAAAAATACATTCTCAGCCGGACTGCGCTGATATTGCGATAAAAACACCAAACGACGGGTGTCTCCCTTGCAGCTGGAGCTTCGGCCCATGATCCAGGCGGGAGTGGCTGGCTTCAAGTGTTTCCTCATCCACAGCGGGGTGGAGGAGTTCCCCCACGTGACGGACCGGGATCTACACGCAGCGATGGCGCAGCTGCAAGGCACAGGAAGTGTCCTGCTGGTAATTTACCCCCCGCAGCACCTTCCGTAACATGCCCAAATAAAGTGTGGTAACGTCACTGAAGTGTCGTCTGCTTTGTCTCCCTTTAGTTTCATGCCGAGAGGGACGTTGAGCAGACAACACAGGAGAATGGCGGTAACAATCATTTTAAAGTGCACTCAGCTAGAACATCCAAAAATGCTATTACTTTACTTTTTGGGCTGATAAACATTACCTTTAAGCTCCAACTGCTAATCCATACATTAAGGTTCCCAGTATTGATATATCTAAACTCCATACCCCTGCCTACACCACTAGACCCTTGTCAGTACTCCACCTTTCTGCAGTCCAGACCAGATGTCATGGAGATGGAGGCCATTCGCACCGTCGCAGAGCTCTGCCTCCAGTACCAGTAAGAACATCAGCATGGTGGCAGATGAGCATGATATCATAGAGGATCCCTCTGGATAGCATTTGTTCTTGTAATTGTAGCATTGATGCCACACTGAGCTAACTCTTTCTGCTCCAGGGTGCGGTGCCATATCGTTCACTTGTCCTCTGCTAAGCCACTGGAGCTGATCCAGGAGGCGCGGCAGGCCGGAGCCCCCCTGACGGTGGAGACCACCCATCACTACCTCAGCCTGTGTGCCGAGAACATACCTGTGGGGGCCACGCAATTCAAGTGCTGCCCCCCCATCAGAGGATCTGTCAACCAGGTGAACAGAAGAGGATGCACAGTAGATGAAAAGTCTGACTGTTTTCAGAGTGAGCCTAAACGTAAAACTGGGCTTTATTATTCTTTGATCCGTCGCAGATGATTGATTTATTTCCCCACAGGAGCAGTTGTGGTCCGCGCTGAAAGCCGGGCAGATCGACATGGTGGTGTCGGATCACTCCCCCTGCACCCCAGACCTGAAGAAGCTAGACAACGGAGACTTCACTGAAGCTTGGGGGGGAATTTCTTCTCTACAATTTGGTATGAACTAGTGACAATAATTACACACACACACACAATATTTTTTTAACCATCAAAACTAAACCGGCTGCTAATAAAAAAAAGCTTAAAAAGTGACTCAATCCCCATATATTATAAAATGCCTAACTGTACAGCAGAGTTAAACATGTCTGAAGCTTGGGCAGAAGAAACAGTTTTGGTGTCTACAGCTAATTTCCCTGTACGCTATATGAACGTTATAAGGCAATAATATGTCAGCGCTTTCTTTACAATTAGTTTCCCTGCAACCGAGTTGCAATCATGCAGCAGATTCAGCTCACTAAAAAGCAAAAAAGTTTTAGAAAATTTCACAACTTAGGTTACCTAACCCAACTAGTTTGATGTGACATCATAATGCTCAGTCTCAAAATTGTGTCAAAGGTCATCGACTCATCGGTGTCCCACACACACCGAATTAATCCACTGAATGATTCCTTTTTACTGGGGAGTGATATGAGCGACGTCACGTGACACTAACATACTCTACCACAGATTTTGTTTGTGAATTTACATTCCAGTGAGTGTCTTGATATCCGAATACAAGGCTTTGAGCCGTGAATCGGATAACGCACCCAAGTTTTCCGTGGCAGCTCATCTCACATTATTCCCCGTCTATGGAGCAGCTCCAGGATTTGTCTCTACACGACAAATCCTCTCTGCTGTTGAAGCCTGAAAGAGGCACTGGCTAAAATTCGCCACTTAAACCTGGCCTGTGCGATATTACAGGGAATTAATATGCACATTTTCTTTTTGAGTGGATTAGTTGCTCCGTCCCTCCGTGTCTCCTCCCACCCATAATGCATCTGACAATCACCCACACCGGGCGAAGTTCACAGGGAGGTAAACAAGAGCCGAGTGGCAGCTTTAGAGGACCGAACAATTATTTACTGTTGGGACACATTGAGAGGGAGGTCAAAGTCTGACAATCCACAATGCTTACTTTGAAATAATTCACGAACGCAGGAGACAAAACTCAAAATATTTGAGGGTGTCAACACAATTCTCAACAGGCCTGTCAATCTTTTCAACCATTTTTTTTTTAACCATTCGCAGGTTTGCCTCTGTTCTGGAGTTCAGCCAGTAAGAGAGGCTTTCAGCTGTCTGATGTGGTGAGACTCCTCTGCCGGCGAACAGCCCAGCTGAGTAGCCTACACAACCAGAAGGGCCACCTGGCCCCCGGCTATGATGCCGACCTCGTTGTATGGGACCCAGAGAGAGAATTTGAGGTCGGTATTAAATCTGCTTCCATATTTGGGACGGAGAAGAGCTTGCTTTCATTGTATTCATTTCATTTTCTTCACAGATTAAAGAAGCAAGCATACATCATAAAAACAAGGTGAGCTACATTAATTACACGAATGATGTAAGGAGCATGTTTTTATTGTGACTGAGCTTATGATCGTGTGTGTGTGCGCAGCTAACTCCTTACCTCGGCGTCACACTGCGAGGAGTGGTGTGTGCAACCATAGTCAGGGGGCAGCTGGTGTACAGAGAGGGCTCCTTCTGCCCCCAGCCTCTGGGGAAGCATCTCTTCTTCCCTCCGAGGAAAAGTGAAGCCCAACTGTGAAGTACAATAACAACAAGCCCTAATAAACCTCAACTTATCGAAATCATTGTGTCGTCTAAGTCCGTAAAAAGCACACCCATGTTGTTTTTCGTCATCTCTCTCGCAACTTATACATGCTTTTTGTTTGATTTTATTGCCTAAACATTTGAACATCACAATTTGCATTTGTAATAAAACCGGGAACACTGACAAAGAAGTAGAAAATAAATAGATGAACACTAATTAAACAGTGCCTTCTTTTTCAGGCCTTTGAGACAAATGTAGCACACTCAATCATTCCAATTTTTCATTATCTGTAAACCAGAATATTTCAGGGATTTGACACGGCATTTTTACAAAAAATAGGACTCTCTTTCTACTTCTTCCAAATCACACAGAGCACACAGTTCCATCTTTTTGGCTTCTAGATAGGTGAGATGCAACATTTAATTCAGGGCCATACCTTCTAATTTAAGTAAAAGCTTTCAATGGAGTTCACATTGCAACACAGAATGTTCATGTGTATATATACATTACATGCATATGCCTCCTTATAGATTGAGTGGTTACGAATAGTGAGGAGTCAGCAATCAATGACAGTATAAAACCGGCAATACATTTTATTTTTGAAAGTGTGAATACGGTCATAAATGAGCACAACAAATATTAGGCTGATGGGTCCAGTAGTATGAGAGATTAGCTGCAGACAGAAAGACGCACGCAGAGACGCTCACACACGCACACACTCATGACCGAATACATAATCTCCCGGTGAAGATGGTAACAAATGCATTATTGTTCATAACCTTAAATCTGTTAATGTTACTAGACTTCTTCAGACTTTCCAACATTGTTTGAGCTCATGTAACAAGTTCAAATATATATACATTATATATATATATACATATATATATACATATACATATATATATATATATATATATATATATATATACATATATATACATATATATATACATATACATATACATATATATACATATACATATACATATACATATATATATATACATATATATACATATATACATATACATATATATACATATATACATATACACATATATATACATATATATATATATATACATATATATATATATATATACACATATATATATATATACATACACATATATATATATATATACATATACACATACACATATATATATATATACATATACATATACATATATATATATACATATACA